TGCTGCACTGATTTACAGGCTGCCCAATTTAATTAGTATTTCAATATGATTTGGGGGCTGTGGGTGGTCATTCACAAGGAAATGCCAATATCATTATTAGAAGGCTTTTCATTTATTTCACATCATCATTTAACTGTCTGAAATCTAAATACATGGAATTGCCAAAAGCCAAAACCATCCTTTTCAGGTACATTTGTATAGCACCATTACCCATAATACCACAAGAAGCAGGTAAGAACCTTTATTGCTCAACCACTAAGGGCAAGACTGTAACAGCCATTACACAGACACATGCTTTGGGGAAGAAAGGAGCTCAGGGGCCTTCTCCAGCACAAGGAGAACAGTGGCTTCCACTGATGCTGTCCTGACCATGAGGTTCCCCTCCCACCTCATATTTCTATACTGTGTGTGCATATAGTCTTACTCTTATTTTAAGAACATTAATATATACATTAGAAAACCCAAACCATTAAAAAGTAGTTGGCTCGGACTTTTACTGGAACACGTGCACAAATATGTTGTTTGGATATTTTTACGGCCATTAACTTTTCCATATATAACCCAGACCTCCCATTAGGTGTTGTGAACTGGATCACCTCTTTACTTGCCAAGTTATATTTCAATTAAATTAAAGTCACCTTTGGTCCTAATGAACCCCCGTTGTTTGCCTAATGACATGATTAATTCCAGCTGCAAGAAGTGATATTAGCCTGAGTGGGTACATGGTTGAAGACTGATTCTCTTCCAAGATTTATGGGTGCTAGAAAAGGCTCCATAACGCATGTTGCTGAGTATTACTTTTCAGGCAGTAAACAGAGGCTTCTGTCACCACAGGCCTCCACTAGGTCTTCAGAAACTGGGATTCACCCAAAATTTGTTCCAGTGGTAGAAACTTAACATAATTCTTTGCACACAGATATTCAACTTCTTCCTTCCGAGGCCCAGCAGAAAGGGAAGCATCCCAAGGAACTTGAACCTGGTGACAAGCATGTTCACCTGGAGAACAACAAAGGCAGAAGATATTGTAGCCTGTACTCTTCATCCAAACTCTCCAGAGATGAAGGGATTCCCTTCACCTATGTTGCCACAATTAACTTATATGGTCCAAAAGAAAAAAGCCAGCAGGGACCAGACTTTTTCCTGTGATCTGAAGAGTGCTGAACTCCAGTTCTAAAGTCTTATTTTACATCCAAGAGTGGCTAGATAACATGGAAAAGTAACATTGGAAGTAGAAGCCTTAGACCACCAAAACCTCAAGTCTCACACGCATCTAGTCTTTAACATACTCAGAACAGAACAGCTCAACCTCCTCGAGAGGCCATACTCAGCACTGAACTCAATGCTATTAGAATGGTCTTAGACACACCTGAAGCACATCTACTGGATCTTCAGGAGATGCAGACATGAGAAATTTAACTATCCACCTATAGGATTAGGTCTCAGCTTTGCCAAAAAGGAGCTGTCTCAGTGCTGTAGCAGGATCCAGACTTCAGGTGCCCCAGCACTTAAGGGCAAAGATCCACCCAAGTACAGAACCTCTCTCTGAATAATTTCCTATGAGCCGAAGAGTTCCAGGATCGACAGCCATGGATGAGCTTGTCATTTGTGACTATAATCCCCTTGTAACCCACTTGTACTCATGGTCTCGATGGCATCAAATGGCAGTCCCACTTGTTATTACCTTTGGTGTAGTAAATGCAGGTCTCTGCCACGGCACAGCATGGTGCTGGAGGAGTTGTGTTAGCTCTGGCCACAGTATCCAGATGCTGACTGTACCAATCCATGAGATCCAAAGAAAAGATCATGGTTACCTGCAAATCTCATGGCTTCTTTTATTTCACAAGCTTACGGATTAGTTTATTTGTGGCCAATCCCTACTCCATTCCCTTCCCCTCCTCTGCTCCATATCATAAAGGCCATAGAAGTTGCTTCAGTATTCAAAAACATGACTAGATTATCAGTCCTTTTATTAGTGCCAGTGGCAATCTGATGCCATAACCCAGCCTGGCCACTTGCTTCACACCTTCCCAGCTAGCATAAGCTGTACTCAGTCATAGAGATGTCATAACACTGTCGTAGTTATAGAGATTTCCAGAGAAGAGGGGGAGCTTAGCAAGTCTGGCACCACAAACTCAGAAGCTGAAGCACAGTTCAGACTGTGCATAGGTGGAACAGGATAAGAACAGATGGAGAAATCTCAGCTATATAAAAATTTCCGTATCCTCATCCTCACAAAAAATGTCATTACAGATAAAACTGTTGCCAGATCCCTGCTTTAGGATTGTATCCGTGTGAGATGATACCGTTGACATCCAGGGCAGTCCTTCCCTAATAATAAGCCTATAAGATCAATTCTTAGGAAAAGTCTCACATGTTCAAACCCAGATTAATCAGGAATATTTCAAGCTGGATGGAGTTAAAGATAGATATTAGAATAAGGCCTATGATTTTTCAGGGACCAGAGTAGCAGAAGTAAATATCCATTAGTCCAAGCTTCAGAACTATCCTACTTCATACACAACTTCAATACAAATAATAGACAAAATACATTATCATATTCAGTTCCCATGACTTCCCTACCTAGACAAGGACTGCACTTGAGCAAGAGTGAAAAGGGAGAGCCAAACCATATTACATATAACTCTGCAAAGAAATATAGAGGTTCAACAGGCATCAGACAAACCCAAGAATAACCATTACACTGTGGAAAGTATTTGACATTAAAACATTTTTCATTAGAAGTGGCATTCCTGACACTTGTATCCTGGTGAAAAGCAATACCAGCCTCACGTCAAAGTCTTAAAGAAAAAGTTTCCATTGCTATAATGAACTTCTCTGTTGAGGTTGTATTGTTCCCCTTTCTACAGAAAATCTCAGCAAGGTTTCCAGGCAGCCAGAAAGGTGTCCTGGTCCATTTTTTTGAAGGAATTTGTGGTCACAAGGCAGCTAGGGGAACTTTAAAAGCTGTATCTAGTGAGCAGAGCAAATGTGGGGTAAATACCTACCTCACTGAAACCAATGGTGTGCTTAATGAAAGGTCCGGCTCAACCTATAAGCAAGTTTAGATGCTGGAGCAGCTACAAAGTCTATCTGTTGACCAACAATTGCCAGAGGACCACAGGAGAGTCAGAAATAATGCAAGAACCAGGCTTGTACAGCATGTTCCTTCTCCTGATACACCTTTTCTTGCAAGCTTCATTATTGACTTGCAAAATCGGATGTGAAGAGCGAACAGAATGAGATAAAATCTGAGAAGTAATCTAAAAGGAAACCCAAGAAGGAAACACTCACTGCAGCCAACTTCTAACCCAGCTTGGTTTCAAACATGCCTTTACTCCAGCAGGAAGAGACCCTCATACATAAATCAGTACTGGTCCCAGCAACTACAAATTCACTTTTTCCAGACGGGCACAGCCCTGTTATCTCCCTGAAGTCTGTTTTTGGGGTTGCTAACACATGCAGATTATTAGATCAGCCACTTCAGGAACATGCCCCACATGGTATGTTACTGTAACGTCTTCTGGTTTGTGTGTTGCATTATGGAGATGTGACAGGGCAGGCAAAGTAACCAACGATCTAGAACAGAACCTAACCCAGTTACTCCTGCATTGAGCCCAGTAATTTCCAACTGAACAGGACATCTAAGAGAACATTCCTTCTTGTTTTAAGACCAAAGATAAAGATTACATGATTTCTCTTTGCAGCTCACTCCTCACTAATCCTACTTTGAACAAAGGTCTGGTATCCAGGTACTACTTTTCTTCACCCACACCAAGGATATGAATTAGTACATTTTCTCCTGGTGATGGCAACCTAAATACTAACAAAGTCATAGCATCTTTGAGATGTAAATACTTAACTTTGTTCTGTTAACCTCATGAGCTAACTCTAAAGACACTGATGCAATGATGCTGTTGATTTCTCCATTCTCCTAAAAATGTTGAACCCATTCTTCCAATTTTTCTACCCCTTGGCCAGTCTTTACTGAGCTGAAACCAAAACTGATGGGGATTGGTTGAGGAAGGAGCAGAAACAAAAGAGTAAAATAAAGGAAGCCTCACTTGTGTTCCTCAATGCATAGGAAACAAGGCAGTTAAACTACCTTATGAACATAGAAATACAACCAGCTAAACACCACAAACCGCTGAGAACTGAATGCATCTTGTTCCTGCTGCTGTCCAGAGAAGCACTAGGAGATCAGAGAAATGAGAAACCATTTTGAATAAGAAGATAAGAAAAGTGAAGATTGCAACAAAGATTTCATTGGATTCTTTGCTCAAGAAAATCTTGTTTTCCTTCATTAAAGCAGAATTTTCTTACATTTCAGGAAATGGGTCAGAAACTGCCTTGCCACTTAAGTTGCATATTTCCAGGATACAATCCAGAGCTCACATGTCAGAGACCTGGTCAAGAGACTGTGATGCAGCTGCTCTCATTCCTGACAGAGGACATCCTGCCCAAGTAAAAGGCACCATCTCCTCTCTTCTGCTCCAAAGCCAAGTACACCAGATTGGTGCCCAGTCGCCCTCCACTACCCCTATAATACCTGATCTAACGCTGCTTTCCTGCATCAAAGCAAACTTGAGTAGCACCAGTATTTGTGGGCTCTGGCTTCCAGGATCTGGAGCTGATGTTTCCAGAGACTGGATTCTCTTTATAAAAGCCACATCCTGCTTTGCTACTGAATCTTTGCCCAGCAAAACTCAATCTTTGACACATCACCCCATCTCTACCACTTAAATATCACTGACACATATAATTAACACCAGGTCAAACATACCACTCTTAACATTTTGGACAATCTGGTTTCAGCTCTTGTAGTGAAGGTCTTTGATTGTGCCAAAGATGGGTAACAGACATCAACACATAAGCAGCGTCAAGAATTATCTGCAGAAAGTTTTTCACTCAAGCAGTGAGGATTGTAATCTGTATTTTAATTGCTAAAGAATAAGGGATTTATTAGGATTAGTGTCTCTGTACTAATATAAAGCATGTTTACACACAAAGAATAATTTTATATGTAGGATAAAATATTACACAGGCTTAAATAATGCCCAAAACCATTCAAAATTGGATCTAAAGCTGAACCAGACTGGCACAGTCAAGGAGGCAGATCACCCAGAAGGGGTGTGGGAATGAAACCAACCCCAAATTTCTTTAAGGCCTGCTTGAGTCCTGCTGACATCTCCATTCCTTACCAAGCAAGATGCCCAATGCCCATTCCACAAACCTGGGCAAACAGCTAAGTGAGAACATGCCAGGAAACCTCAACAGAGCATGAAGTTAATAAGATGCATTCCTCAGCATTTAGTAGCTTCAGTTTGAAACTGATTTTCTTCCTGTGCCATTAGACACTGCTCAGCCCCAGGACTTTGTACCAGATGCAAGGATTACCCAGTGAAGTCTCCAGCTAATGCTGCACGGACAGGCACATTAGATGAGCACAGCTCCTGCTCTACTTGTGCCTAAGCCCATCCAGAAGGGGGAATTCCCAGAAATCCCAGATGTTGCAAACACATCCTTCCCCAAGAGGAAAATAAATATTTTCAACATGGTTTCACAGAGCCAAAAGGCCTGGCTTGCTGAATTAGTGTTTGATTACACCCCCGGCTACACCTGATCTCCTTCACCACTCATCCACCACCCCAGAAGCACCTGTAGCAAACCACCACATCTGTCCTAAAATAATATGGCTGGATAAGCAAAACAAAAATCAGACCTCAAAAGCAGTTTCACACACTGTTACACAGTACTACTGCCACTCCAGACTCTTTACAAGCAAATCACAGTCACATATTTCTCACTAAGTTTGCCCTCTATGAAACCTCAATGCAGGTGACCTTCTCCTGTCCCACCAGCCTGCATTACTACATGGGACAATTTAGCAGGCAACACAAATACATCCAGTCCCTTCCTCAGGAGACTTCCAAGCACTGTTTCTAAAGGTTCATACAATGTAATGAAACAAACAACATTTCTTTGCAGCGAAAAACCCACATTCCAATAATGTTTCATTTGAATACAAAAATACATTTACATTTGAACACAACACGCATCAAAACAACATTTGAACCTTCCCTTTGACAACAGAAATTAAAGTAACCCCATCCATGTCACATCTCAGTCCTCAAACTTAGAGGAAGAGCCCTGTACATCAACCAAAGCTGCCCTCAACAGCACTGCAAAGAACTTAGCCAGAATGACTTTTTGAAGCACCACAGGAGAACTGAGGAAAGATATTAAGAGGATAAAGCTCCACATGGGTACAACAGAGCAATAGCAATAAGTACTTGAGAACAATCAGCTTCACCTTTAGATTTATCTTTTCAAGCATAATAAATATTTCTCACCTCTGAGCCCATGATGGATGGAGACACACAAGGCCAAGACATCAAGCTGGCTGCCTGGCATAGTTGGTGGAGCTTCTTCTCTTCCTTTGGAATAAAAGATGTCCCTGTGTCTTTACCTTGCAATACAGGTGGTGAGTTACAGCTTAGGCACTGCTGTCCTGTTGATCATTGATCCCAACTGCTAACACCCCAGGGAACCTGGGAAGAAGACAGAGACCCATCACAAGCTGCCCAAGACCTTCTCCTCCCCAGAGACCCCAAACCATTCAATGATGCTTGTGACCATCATCTTTCTAAACCAAGCCCTGGTGGGTACATGGCCAAAATCACCTTGTAAAAAAGTAGAATCATACAGGGCAGGTTCTTCCCTTTCTCAAATGACATCCCAGCTGAAGTCGTCTCCTGGAGATGGAGGCTGACACTCCAGGCAGACTTTATTAGCTAGCACTTTTCACCTGGGATACCCATAGCTAAGCCCAAAATGGATCTGCTGGCAGTGCTCACCCCTTGCTGTCACATTGCTGGCACCTGGCCATACCCCTGAGCAAGAAAGCAGACGAAAGCACAGAGAAAATTATGGGATGAGCTCCTGGAGCAGCAATAGGCTCATGCTGGAGTTCCAGACCCTTCATTTGCAAATCAGTTCTGACTGACACTATGGCAACTGGGTCACAAGAGTCTTCCTCCTCCAAGGGGAGAAACAGAGTAGCTCCATTCCCATTGCTTATTTTTTCATGCTCAGCACTAAAAAGCTTTATCCAGACTGCAATTATTTCATCACTGACATACAGCACAGACAGGTTTGGGGGAAAAAAAGGAAGAAAAAGGAAAACCCATATTTCTGCGTTTCTAGAATCCAATGGAAAGACTTCTGAGCATGCAGGTAAACACAGTTTAAGACCCTCAAGTTATATTACAGATATTTTGCTAAGCTTTGTTTTAAAAAGTGAAAGGCACGTTCTTCCACAATACCACTGTTTGCATCCCATAAACTTCAAGAAGGAGCAGTGTTCACTCTTGAAAAGCTATTCTGCAAATACTTTTATTAAAAAGACTAGGGGAGAGGGGCTAATCCTTTTACACTGTTCTTTTTTTTCCCCTCTCCTACTTCTTTTATCTCTCACCTACCATTTTAGTAAGGCAGAAGAGGAAATAGCAGTTATCCATCAAAAATTCAGCTCATGCTTAAAAAAAAACAAACCATTAAAAATAGCTTCTGAAAGCGAGTGAAACATTTTTCTCTCCCACAAAAAAACTCAATGTTTTCCAAAATAACATTTAAAAAGCATTCAACCAGCTTCCTTTACTCAGCATTAACCTGTCTCTCTCTACAAACAGGGCTCTGCATTTAAACCCCTTCTAACAGATGCATAACAAACCAACATTAAGCTTGTTTATTGTTACTTACTAGCTCAAAAGTTTCTGCTTCCCAGCTAAAGCACCAGCCCACACTCACAAGCACAGGAGAGCTAGATCCAAGGTCAGGCTCCCTAAGCCCAAAGCCTCTTGAACTTTACAACCAACAAATCCATCACTGGTTAATATCAGAGAGCCTATTTTCTAACAGCAGAATGATATTGCTGGCCTAATTGGAGGACAAGCAGGAGAATACTCGCAGAGAGCTGGCCACTAACCTAGCTTTCCTATTCTTCCTCTCCCAGCAGGGCACACTCTTCCACCCTCTTGCCATACTCAGCACCTTCAACTGCAGAGAAAACCCTGCTTTAACTGAGGGGTGATATATAAGAGAGGTGTCTTTGGGTGGAGCTTGTCAGGACAGGGAGGGGCTTGTTGTGAAGAGATGGGGCTAAACCATACACAGAAGGTGGTCACCAATGTATGATGGACGTCACCAGGAACATCGCTGCCCTGGCTCTAGAGCAGCACTGCTTTGTAGGGTTTGGGCTCTTTAAGTGTTCTTCTTCAAGTGCATGGCCCACATCAATGTCATGTACTGCCTTATGCATATTAAAGGCAAAGCCAGGCTGGATGCCGGTACGTTGTTCAGTGCTTCACAGCGATACTTGGCCCAAGTTACTGCCTCAGAGTTAGAGGGTGCCTGCACTGATTCCTTGGCCAGGATGTTTGTCTCAATAGTGTTCAAGAAATAGAGGACTCCAAGCCAACTCCTACAATTAAAGTCTCCAGTATTATGCCCAGTAGAATCCACACTAAAACTGCTGCTGAGCCTCATCCAAGTGCTGGCCTATGAAAGTAGGAGAGAAATTCCCTTGTTACAGTCAAAAGCTTAATTTTAGTTCATGAGTGCTGAAGATTGATCAGAAGAGATGGGAAGCATCAAACATACCTTGATTGACTCTCGTCTCCACTGAGCTGAGCTCTGCCACACGCTGCGTTTAAACTAGGTTGGCCATAAGCCTTCTGGATGTGAGCATGGAAACTGCTCCATGCAGGCAGAAGCCCAGCCAGGGCTTTGGTAGGCTCTGTGTGGTATTGCTGGGGCTTTCCATCCAGAAAGGATCATTAAAAACCGTGCTTTTCAGCGAATGTGCTAGAAACTGGGGTATAGAGCATCTCCATGCAGCAACAGCTCACCAAATAAGTTCATGTTCCCAGTAACAGAGTTCTGCCTCCTCAGCCCTCAGAAACAATGATCACATATGAAGGTAGAAGGACCAAGAGATCAAAGGGGTCTTCTTCAGCTCTACCTCCTTGAGGCTGTATAACCCTGGGGAACAGACCTTGAATTAAATCTTCCTTGTGTCCTGGTACAAGGCAGCTCAGGCACCAGCAGGGTTTCCAGGTAATGCTGCATTCTCCTGAGAAAGCAGCATCTCCAGCTTGCTTTGCCGATAGAAATACTCCAGCCAAACCATGTGTGAATGATGATGGTGCATCTGGGATGTTCAGAAATCAAATGACAAGTGGTGCTAAAGGTGAAATCTGTTTTCATTACAATGAGGTGAAATAAAAAGCTTTATCTGCCTGCAAAATCAGGTCTCTACTACATATATATATATATATATACATATGTGTGTGTGTGTGTGTGTGTGTTGTCCTTTCCTTATAACGGTAGAAAAAAACACTTTGCTCCACAACTCCCTTGCAATCACTGCATCCCTCTGAAAACCACGCCCAGACTAAGTTAATGAGAGCCAATTATTTCCATACCATGCAAATCAGGCTCTAATGAAGTCAAAAACAGTTCAGTGTTAGCAAAGTCAGGGGAGACCAAGGATGTCTGTTGGCACTTGCCCTCTGCATGATCTCAGAGCTGTGAGCATGCCCTGGGAGCATTAACCCATGTAGGGCAGGAGAGAAGGGTGCAGGCGGCAGGATATGGAGTTAGGGCAGGCAGAGAAGTGACCACACAGCTTCAAGCTGCCACTGCAGCACCTTGGCAAGAAGCTCTCCAACTCACAAGCCAGCCGCATTTTACAGGCTTGAGGTCTTCCTTGTGTTATTTCAGGCACCATTTGCTAAGGCACAGCCAGCGTCCAAATAGCTTTTTTTACAACCAGATGCAATGCACCAAGCCTCTCTACACACAGACACAGATTTACTGGAGGGTGGTGGGAAGAGAACCGGGTCCCTGCCTCACCCCCAGGCCTGCATGGCTTGATGCAATCCTTGTGCACTGCTGTGGCATCTGTGCATCCTTCCCCAACACACGCTGGCTGCAGACACTTGCTGGGTTTTGGTGGCTTTTGCAGGAGGAGGTCAGGGGGTTCATTCAAGGATATCCAAGCTATTTAAAATATACTACCACATTCCTTTACGCTACAGAGACTGGGGAAATACTGCTGCCCTTTCCCTATACAGCACCGCAGATGGGGAGTCAGGAGCTTGAGCACAGCTTTAAACCATTGCTGTAGATGCTTCAGCTTTACTGGTTTCCCTCAGGTCTCTACCTTGTCATGTCTCACACAGCCCCCGATCAAAGCCAAGGGAAGAATAAACAGCAGAGACAGTCTGGAAAGGCTGGATATTCCTCCCCTTTCTGCATGACCGCCATGGGCTTGTCTTCCAAGGTTTCATAGCTCTCCCTGGACCCAACTGTTCATTTCATTGCTCCATGCTTGGCCTCTCCTCTGTCTTCTCCATGACTCCTCACAGTCGGGGGTCACTGAAGCTCGAGCTGCTGAGGCTCCCTGAGACCCCATCCCTCATTCCCAACCCATGAGTCACTTCCTCTCCTTAAACCTCACCTTTCAACTTCCATTTTTTATTTGCTTATGATATTCTCTCTATCTCCACAGGGTTTTTGCTCTTTGCCGTACAATCGCAGCCCTGTTGTTCCGGGCAGGAGTGTTGCTACTGGTTTCAGCAGCAAATGGAGGGGTGTGAAGACACTACATAAACACACACAGCTAAATATTCCCTCTGTGCTACATAGAGTATAGCCCCTCTGGAGATGGGCTGATTTGCATCCGCTAAAACTCTAAGCTGTGTTGCTATGGTCAACTTGGAGTTTCTTTCCTCCCAAGAAAACGTCATTATTAGATGATTAAAACTTGGTTGGACATGGAAATAGATCCATATGAGGAAAAAAAATAAAATTAAAAAAATACATTTTTTTTCACATTTGATATGCTTTGAAACTGGCACCTTTTCTATGATTTTTCATTAGTGCTTTCTATAGAAATTATTGTTTTTGGAAACCACCTGAAATATGGCTTTTGGTAAGAAAATGTAGTGTCTGGCCAATAAAAGAATTGCTATCAGGATTTCAAAGAACATAGTGAAAAATCACCTCTAATTTCCTAAGAAAATGTGAAAATGTAAATAGTGCTAAACCAGTTTCATTAAGTTTCTTTTGAAAGGGCTTAAAAAGTAAAATAATTTGTTTATGGTGAAACATCATGAATTTTAGCTCATCATCAAACCTTGCTGTGGTTTGGGGGTTTTATCCCCTTCAGCCCCTGGCAACCAGTACCAAAGGGACTTTGGAATGGCAGGGTCCATTCAGGGCTTCTGGCTTAATGGTCGCTGATAGACACATCCCCTCTGGATCTGGCTTATTTAAAGAATTTACTCTTATGTGGTGTCTTCATCAAAGTAATCCTCATTCTTCTTTCATTGTGTTGGGTGTGGATGGGAGATTCCTCAGGGGAAGCAGTGGATGTTCAACCAATATGGGTAAAAGCATGGCTAACCATGGGATTTTAGCATATATCACAAACTGTGCCTACAGTTGGAGCAGAAATACTCCAACAGCCACTACTGACCCTTTCAAGGTCTCACTCCTGTTTTCAACACCCTCCTCCTGGGCTCTTCTTCCTTTGGACCCTCAGATAACTAGTGCTCAATAATGGCTCAATGACAGCCGGTGCCATGCCCCAAGGACCTGCCACCTGAGCACTCTCCCTCCTTCACCAAGAGGATGATCTTGCCCAAATGAGGTTCTTCCTCCTGGGGTCTCTTCTGAAGATCCCAGCCTCTGTCCAGACCTCTCCAGCCAGGCATCTCTTCCAAGAAGACGCAGGGCAGAGACACCTCAAGGAAGTCAAGAAGCAGGGGTTGTATATCCACAGCTACTCCAGCAGATAACAGCATCCTTCTTAATTTATCCCATCTCCTAACAGCAAGCTCAGGCCCCTCAGATGCTGCACAAGTCCATGTGCACAGACCGGGAATTAGAGCATATGCAGTACAAGTTCATATGGCCACCAGCCCAGGCCCTTAGCCAAAAACTACAAGGCTATATTGGAGTCTGGGATTGCTTCTCTTGGCTTACCAGTGGCTCATGTATACCCCAGTCTTATCATCCTGCCTATTAAATTGACTCCCCAGATGCACTCTCCAGCACCTTCCCTAGTGCAAAGTCCAGTTCTTTGCCAGGGTCTGGTCACTGAACATGCCTGGTTGGGCTCTCTTTGGTCACCACCAGGATGGCAATGCATGAAGACCGGGGAGCGAGGATTGAGCAGAGACAGGGACAGGGGACTCCCATGGGTGCTCCCCTCATCCCTGGTGACCATGGACCTGTGACAAGATAGGGGGTGGCAGGTAACGGGGGTCAGATGGGGCTTGGGAGGGTGCTTCGATACCTGCATTCACTCCACAGGAGCCTGGTGGTGCAAGCGTGTCTTAGAATCATACAATCATAGAATAGTTAGGGCTGGAAAGGACCTTAAGTTCATCTAGTTCCAACCCTGCTGCCATGGGCAGGGACACCTCACATTAAACCATGTCACCCAAGGCTCTGTCCAACGTGGCCATGAATAACACCAGGGATGGAGCATTCGCAACTTCTTTGGGCAACCTATTCCAGTGCCTCACTACCCTAACAGGAAAGAATTTCCTCCTTATATCCAATCTAAACTTCTCCTGTTTAAGTTTTAACCCATTACCCTTGTCCTATCACTACAGTCCATCCCCAGCATCCCTATAGTCCCCCTTCAGATACTGGAAGGCTGCTATGATATCTCCACGCAGCTTTCTCTTCTCCAGGCTGAACAGCCCCAACTTTCTCAGCCTGTCTTCATACAGGAGGTGGTCCAGCCTCTGATCATCCTCGTGGCCTCCTCTGGGCTTGCTCCAACAGTTCCATGTCCTTTTTATGTCAAGGACACCAGAACTGTGGACAATACTCCAAGTGAGGTGTCTCTCTTCCCCAGCCCCAGCTCATCAAGCCAGAGATGAATTACTGAGGACAGCTGAGACAGGAGGCAAATGGCATCACGCTGAAGCCGAACAAGGCCTGTGACTATGCACTGTGGGATCCTAAATATTTGGAGAGCAA